ACATGAACTCCATAAAATGTCAGGAAAGTTGGTGTCTGGAAATTCTTCAGGACATCCATATAAACTCCGCTGCGGAAATTGCGTGTTTTTGTTTACAGCACACTGACCAGTGTCGGCTGTTATCACCAAAAGCTTTCAAATCTTGATGTCTTTCCAAGCCGACATCTTCTGTGTCTTCTACATTTGGCACCACTTTAAGATATTTGTATTCTTTTTGGGTTTAAGAGGAGCAGGAGAGAGAGAGCCAGAGCCAGAGAGCGAAAACGCCTGTAATGTTTCAGACACATCCAGATAACAGGGTGTTGTTGTATAAGGTCCAGGCCAGAAGGTCGAGGGGAGGGAGAGTTGAGGGGGGAGGTCTGTGCTCTCTCTTTCTTACGCTCTCTCCTTTAAAGGTAACTGCTCATGGTGGGAGGCGGGACCCTCAGTTCTTCCTGTAAACTGTCCACAGACCCAAGAAGCTTTTTAATCAAGAAACAAATGGGAGTGAACAGCCCCTCACATCATCACCCCCCCGATGGATCAGTGGTGCAGACACAGAGAGAGAGAGCAGGAGGTGACGCTGACATCAGCTTTAGAGGGGGGGGGGGGTTGAGGAGTGAGAGTAGGGGTGATGTCTAGTGTAGCCCTGGGCATCTGAGACAGATTATTGGAAATTTCTGTAGTCAGCGAGAGTGAGTAAATCCACCGATGCTCTTTGGAGAGAGATCTGTGTTTGTCAAGAACGACTGTCTTCGCTGTGAGCAACCTTCTGTTTCCAGGAGGTGGAAGAAAGGTTGGACGAACACAGGAAACGTTCGGGGTTGTGTTCAGCCAGCGTACGACATCTCCCTTAGAGTCATGGAAACATACCTGTGCTGATCAAATTGAAGCAGAGGCTCCAGCAACGCTAACAACATGAAGGCAGACTTACCATGCGCCTGTGTGCACACGCACACACACATGTGCACTGGAAGCACTAGAGGCAAGAAGGTCTGTGCTGAACTGAGATAAACCTGCAGCCAGCATGTGGTCAGTCGGCTGACTGATGTACTTTCAGCCACACAGCACAGACAGACAGAGTGAAGAGCAGGCGTGAGGGAAAAAGAGCAAAAATATATATCATTCAAATAAATAAATGGGTGTATCCCACACCCATTAACCAGCACTCCGTCTTTCCATCCTCCTCCCTTCAACGTGTGGGTTTATTGATCTGGTTGTGCATTTCCAGGTTTCAGGTTTCCAGTAATCAAGAGCAGCAAATGGCAAGAGGATAGGGTGTAGCGGCAGATAGATCCTCCGAGCACAGAGTTGTGAAGAGCCAGGATAAACTTAGGGCACCAGGCTAAATTATTGATGCTGATTAGACTCTTCTCATTGAAATGAATTAGAGAGACTTCAACTTGTGTTGCACAGCAGCAGCAGCTTTGGTTCAACTTTAGCTGAGGACGTTTCTCTGACTCTCTGGGGAATAAGACATTGATGGAACGTAACTAAGTACATCTCGCCATATTAAAGGAAGTGAAAGATACGATTTCTGGCTCTGCCCATTTATCCAGTTCTTCCTTGGCTCATACCCCACCCCTCCACAAAATTCAAAGGAAATTGGTTCACTAGTTTATGAGTAATCCTGCAAAAAAAACATGATTTATTAACAGTTCCACCAACAGTTATTTTAAGAATCAAATACTAAAAAGTCCAAAATCTGAAATAAAATTTGTCAAGCAAAACTTTTTCTCCTGTCCTATATGACCCATTACATCTCTGTCATAACAAAGTAGAGAAGGGGGCCACAGGCTGTGAGCCATTGACTAAACTACATAACTGTATATGATGAGGTCATTTAAACTACATCCACTTCAGTCAGCTACAACAGTTAAATTCGACTTAATGGCCCAAAAGATTTAATGATGCTAACTAACAACCAAATACAGAAAACAACACCAACCTCCTTGGCACTGGTGATAACATCTCAGTGTAGCAGAATGGGAACTTACACTTTTATACATTATTGATGATAATACTTCACTTAGATGTGCTGCTTGTACATATTGTAAGGATCCGAGTACTTCTACCATCAGAGCACCTCTCTGCATGTGCATATACGGCTAATACACTGTGTGGCCACCTGGTGTCTACATATGAAGATGATAATATCTGTGATAAACCATCAAATCACAGTAATGACAGAATGTGGGTGTGCTGCTCATGTGTGCCTATTAAAAGTGCTCCGATCGAGGATAAGGGAACAATGCCAGTGTCCAGCGCTGCCTCTCATCATCACATACTGTAACACATCAAACGCAGCAGCACGCGGCATAATGAGGAGGACAAGGACTATAAACAGCATCCGTCTGCTCACATTTAAATGTACTAATTCTCGTCCTTCCCCTCTATCATTTCATCCATCTTGAGTAGTTTAACTCTAAATATACACTCAGAACTGCTTGAACATCCATCTCAGTTGTCAAGCAATTCTTCATCCTTTCCCTTTCTAAAAAACCCTCCTCCTCCTCCTCTGCTTTGAAAGCCACCCACTCTTCTTGTCTATCCGAAACTTCCTACTCCTCCGACACGTCACCCGTTTGATTTTAACCACTGAAATGAGTTTTAATATGTGTCAGACTCGGAGCTTGAACACAGTGTGTACAAAACTCAAACACAACAAAATATTGTATGTGTGTTGTTTAAGGCGACTGACTCAAAATGTATTCAGCTATTTTCTGTGCTGCCCTGTCTCAGCCTCTCTCTCTCTTTCACCCGCTACCTCGCTTGTCAGAAAAAATAAAACCTCAGCCGCTGGGAACTGTGCAGACCACATTATATTCAACTTACTTCCTTGTCTCTTTCCATGTAAGACAAACTCAGAAATAATTTGCACACACTTTACATTTTTTTGTCTATGACAATAAAGTGCGCATGAAGAGGAAGGGGGCGCAGAGGGAGGCAATCTTGTTACCAGCCGGCATAGCCCTGGGAAGATTTCTATCAGACACACGTATAGTGAGAGGCATCCATTTAGAAAATGGCTTTTCTAGGCATGCTGGGCCATTTAGCGCACCCTGTGACGACTCCTGTTTGGGGCCATGATAAATGTTCTTTCACACCCGCTCTGCAAACAGTCAGGCCAGCACACACACACACACACGCACGCACGCACATGCAGCCATATGGGCACCTTACACAAGACATCACTGGGACGGACGTGATATTTTTAGAGAGAGACAGGCCTGTTTGGGTTTCGCTTAAAGAAGAAAACCTCAGACACTTGTGGCGTAAATTAGATTAAATCCACAGAATGTAAAGCCCGCTGAGCATTAACATCACGTCAAAAGTCAGCTATGTCCACACATCTCAGTTTTTAAACAACCATAACATATTTAAACAAACACATACACATTCTCAAGCCTGACTGATGTGGATATTTGGGACTTGATGCCAATATTAATAGTAATAAATGTCTGATATTGATATGTCAGAAGATTTATTTGTATATAGAAAAATAAAAGATTCCTAAGATGTGATTATAAAACACACATATAAGCAGGTATAGGACTTGAATGAAGATAACAAACTGAATTTGTTATGTTATGTAAAATAAAAGAGCATCTTTTCTGTATTGTTGATTCTGTAAAATAGACGTTGAGTGTTGAAAATATTCTCATTACATTGTTGGTTATTATAAATCTTTAGAAGTTTACAATGATCAAATCATTGTCTACAAACATGAATTTATGTTTGCATTTTATGTATGTTTATTTTCTTCATTAAAGTTGTTTGTATTTGTTTTCTTTGTACTTTATAATAAGTTATAATAATAAATAATAAGGTTTATGCTTAAACTGGAAAATACCAAGAGTCATTTACATTTCTTTTTTGATAACATCTTAGGAATTATTGCCATTTAGTCTTATGGGGTTAGGGTATCGGCCGATTTATCGTATCAGGAAATTTTTATCCCCTAAGATTGGTATCACCATCGTCCACTTAAAGTCCATATCAGTCGGGCTCCCCTGAAAAATGCATCACGATTAAATAAATGCTTTTTTATGGAAGGACAACATTTTGGAAATTCTGAATTTTCAGAAAAAATATACTTTCACCGTGACACCAAGTGTAACAAATTAAAATTTTAGAAATTCACATTGCTCAGTGGAAATGCAGAAACAAATATTTGCACAAACTGAAAAAAGCTTATATTTCGGATAAACATACTGAGTTGTGTTTTGTTAACACTGGACTGACTCCTCAAATTCAACCCATACCTCTATCATGCAATCTGAACATCTGCTTTATATCCACTAATTGTTAACCTTTACACTAGCAAGTTCCCCGTCATCGCACTTCCTCCTCTCTAGGATCCATCAATGTTGACACCAAACTATGAGCCGTCCCACTAACCACTGTAGCTGCTTGTATTAGAGCTGCCACAGGCACCGCACCGGCTGGATGAATCACACTCACCCAAACAGCAATAATGAAGCATTTATCTCAGGGTGCATTACAAACCCTGGAAGCACGGTGAACATGCACACATGGCGGGAAAATGATGAAACAGTGTCAATCACACTCTGCTCAACCATCTGCTCGACCACAAGACAGACACGTGTTACCCACAGCCGCATTCAGGGACGCAGACAACCAACTTAATTCTCGGGTTTGTTAAACCAAATGAATTTTTTGCCTATAAAATAATATAGTACATCTTTGATCTTAAGCCCCTGTTTCATGAGATTTTGTGAAAAATAAGTAAAATCTAAATTGAAAGTTCATAGGGATTTTTAGGTCAAAAAAATTGACAGAAGCTGAGTTGCAATTGAAAAAGTAAGAATTATGTCGAAGATTTGCAGTGCTCTGTGTGTGTGTGTGTGTGTGTGTGTGTGTGTGTGTGTGTGTGTGTGTGTGTGTTTGCGCACAAGGACTTGGGAGTCCATGTTGTACAACCTCAGCCAGCACAATCTTACTGATTAATAATGGAGGAAAATAGCAGCGCGTCACATCCAAGCATGACGTCAACTCACCGATCTCATCTGCTGAGTTCCGGTGACGTGCTGCAGAACCTTTTCCAGCTCCTTCTCGATACGTCCGGCCCAGTGAATCATTCTGCAAAATGAAATTAGACATTGTCAATCTGCATCCCTCGACATTATCTCATCAGCATGACATCACACAGACACTGGTTTCTCCATCGGAGATTGAGTCTGTTTGTAAGTCCCTTGCCATCTTTGTGTATCTCCCAAACTATGCTTCCTCCCAGATCCCTATCTGGAACTCATACTGTCAATCTCTGCTAATGTCTAGGTTAGTCATCAGAACCTTCTCTTCATATCACACCTTGCATATATCTGGTCGTCTCTGGCAGGACTGGCGGCGAACGTGTCTGCCATGGCTCGGTTGGGATCAGTGGCTCTGCAATAAAACTGCTCTGGTCTGACAGAAGTGCACCCTAAGCAGGAGCTGATCTCCGGTAGACGGAGCCAACTTTGGAATTAAGAGATCAAACGGCTGGAGCTCATCACTGTATATCTCCCAGCAAGCAACAAATGACTTAATGGATCAAGATTTTCACTAGATCATTTTAAAGCTGCAGCGAGAGGCCGACCTGCCAACCTGGATACACACTGAACAATCTGTGTGCGTGACCGACGACAGAAACTCTCACTCAATCTCAGTCAGATGAATAAATTCTGTTGTGTGTTTGCGAGCCAACCACTGACTGCGTGCCAACCTTTTCCTTTCAGCAGCCTGCAGATAGCTAATCACTAGCATCAACAGCACAACAGAGTCGTTTGTCTTTTAATATGACGATGGAGACAAATGTCATCTTTAAATGTCAGATTTGCTCAAAAGACAAGCAGGAAGACAGATTTATTAAATTGCACAAATCTGCCGAGCAGTGACAGCGCTCGACGTAATCACAAAGCCGGAGCGGGCCTCATCAGAAGAGTAACAGAAGAGCAAACACGCCAGCGAGCACAGAGCCCTGGCTGTGTTTACGGGGACAAGATTATGAGGACGCGAGAGGGCCTCCAAAAAGGACTGTGCAGAGCGGGACCGCTGGGGAGAGGCCGCTGACTATGAAAAGGTCACCTCGATATGAAATAAAAACAAGCTTACAGTGAGAGCAGAGCCGAGCACGGCGCAGTGATACTAACAGTGAGGGACATTACCTCTGTCCCCGAGCCAGGCAGACTTCTTACGCAACTTCATTAGTCTACATGCTACACACACACA